GGAAAAAATCTTTGCACTCCATTCAATGGATAAGGGACTGATCACAAAGATATACAAAGAACACACATGGCTCAACAAAAACAAAACAAACAATCCAGTCAAGAAATGGGCAGAAGAACTCAAAAGACATTTCTCCAAAGAGGAAATGCAAATGGCCAAGAGGCATATGAAAAAATGTTCAACATCCCTTATCATCAGGGAAATGCAAATCAAAACCACACTGAGATACCATCTCACACCATTCTTACACCAGTAAGAATGGCACGTATCAAAAAAACAAGCAACAACAAATGCTGGCGAGGATACTGTGAAAAAGGAACTCTCCTACATTGCTGGTGGGAGTGCAAACTTGTCCAACCACCGTGGAAAGGTGTCTGGAGGTTCCTCAGTCTACTAAAAATGGAGCTACCATACAATCCAGCAATTCTACTACTAAGGATCTACCCGAAGAATGCAAAAACAGTGATTCAAAAGAGCACCTGTACACCTATATTTATTGCAGCACTATTTACAATAGGTAAAACCTGGAAACAACCCAAATGCCCAAAAATAGATGACAGGATCAAGAAGATGTGGTGTATATACACAATGGAATATTATTCAACAATCAAAAAAGATAAACTCATGCTATTCCCAGCAACATGGATGGAGCTAGAAGAAATTATGCTCAGTGAAATAAGCCGGAAGGAAAAAGAAAAATATTAGATGATTTCACTTATAACAGGAATATAGGGGAACCAAATAAGACATCGGTGTAAAAAAAAATAATAACACTACAAAACACAACAAAGCAAAAACAGACAATTAAAAACCAGAGACATACTGCAGGGGAGGAGGAAGGAGAGGGATAAGAGAGAGGGAGGGAGGACAGGAGACTATGGTGATGGTGCATGGGTGCTTGGGTGAGGAAATTCTATGCGGACTTGTTTAAAAAATTTTTAAAATTATAAATGTTAAAATAAAAAAATTTAAAAAACTGACAAATTTCAATTTGCTCAGCTGTGTTTGAACATTGTGATGACCAGTGACACTGTGTGGCTCCATTTCTCCTTTAATGTGTTTGCAAGTTAACCTGTGTCTGTCCCTCCATCACATCCCCATTAGGGCTTGTGGGGCAGGAACTGTCCCTTCACATCGCAGGCCCCAGCCCACAAGGAGCTGAGCACAGACAACTTCACTGCACAGATGCTCTCAAGGAGCCTCCTCTGCGTGGTCCTGAGTCACCTGATGAGATGCTGGACGTCACACTGCTTCTGTGATGGAAGAGACTTTTAGGGGCTTTGTGGGGAAGGGAGTTTGTTTTTCATGTGGGCAGACTGGAAATATTAATGTCCAGAAGGTGGACTGTGTTAGTTTTTGATTTTCCACATACTCTCTGATACACAGGAGGGGAGACAGTTCCCCCTCATGAGTGTGTCTGACTTGCTGGCTATTCCTCTTGAGGAGAATAAAGCAGAAGGGATGTGCCATGTCACAGAGTCAGGCTCACAGGGGCTGAGACTTACCACCCAGGCTCTCCTCCTGGTCCCTCTCTGGGGTGACTCCCTGTACACGGTGGACACTCAGCTAAGGGGACGCCCACAGGACAAGGAACTGAAGGTTTTCTCCAGGAGCCACATGTGTGAGCTCTGAGGCAGGCTTTCCATGCAGACCAAGCTCTTCCTTTGGCTGAGATCCTGACTGCAGCCTTGTGAGACCCGGGTTCCCTTGGAACCTCCAAGGGAAGCCGCATCTGACCCCTCACCCACATAAAATGTGTGAGATACCAAATCTCTGTTGCTTTAAGCTGATAAGAATGGAGTCATATGTCACAAACCTGTAAAAACCTGTGGTTGGCTTCTCACAAGAAACAAAATGGAAGACAATGACATAAGCAAAGTATTCTTAGAAAAAAGCTGCCAGCTGCCAAACAAGAATTCTATGTCCCCTGAAAGTGTCCTTCAAAATAAAGGTGACTTTTACATACAAGGAATCCAAATAGGGAAGGAAGAAATCAAACTATCACTATTTGCAGATGATATGATAATATACACAGAGAACCCCAAAAACTCCACAGAAAAACTAATTAAACTCATCAATCAGTTTAGTAAAGTGGCAGGATACAAAATCAACACACAAAAATCAGTAGCCTCCCTATACACAAACAATAAATCTAAAGAAGAAGAAATCAAGAAAACCATCCCTTTTATTAATGAAACAAAAAAAATTCAATACTTGGGAATAAACCTAACAAAAGAGGTAAAGGACCTATACAAAGAAAACTATAAAACAATTTTAAAAGAAATAGAAGAAGACACAAAGAAATGGAAAGACATCCATGCTCATGGATTGGAAGAATTAACATTATCAAAATGGCCATCCTACCAAAAGCAATCTACAGATTCAATGATATTCCAATAAAAATTTCAATGTCATTCTTCAAAGAAATAAAACAAATGTCAATGAAATTCATATGGAGCCACCAAAAACCCTGAATAGCCAAAACCCTCCTGAAAAAAAAAAGGGGGGAATGGAGGCATCACACTCCCAGATCTTAAACTCTTCTACAAAGCCATAATAACCAAAACTGCATGGTATTGGAATAAGAACAGACACACGGACCAATGGAACCAAATAGAAAACCCAGAAATAAACCCACAGATTTATGGTCAACTAATCTTTGACGATGGAGCAAAGAATATGCACTGGAACAAAGAAAGTTTGTTCAACAAATGGTGCTGGGAAAACTTGGTAGCTACATGCAAAAGAATGAAGCTTGACTACTACCTCACACCATGCACAAAAACCAACTCAAAATGGATTAAAGAACTAGACATAAGACCTGAAACCATAAAATACATAGAAGGAAATATAGGCAAAACACTACATGACATGCACCTCAAAGACAGCTTTACAGACACATCACCCAAAGCAGTGATAGTGAAGGCAAAGATCAACAGCTGGGACTACATCAAATTAAAGAGCTTCTGCACAGCAAAAGAGACAATAACCAAAACAAAGAGAAACCCCACCAACTGGGAGAAAATTTTTGCACACAACACTGATGATAAAGGACTGATCACAAAAATCTGCAAAGAGCTGATGAGACTCAACAAAACAAAGAAAATAATCCAGTCAAAAAATGGGCAGAAGAGCTAAAAAGAAACTTCTCCAAAGAGGAAATGCAAATGGCCAACAGGCATATGAAAAAATGTTCAACATCACTTGTCATCAGGGAAATGCAAATCAAAACTACCATGAGATACCATCTTACACCAGTGAGAATGGCACATATTAAAAAAACTAGCAACAACAAATGTTGGTGAGGATGTGGTGAAAAAGGAACTCTCCTGCATAACTGATGAGAGTGCAAACTGATCCAACCACTATGGAAAGCTGCCTGGAAGATCCTCAGTCTACTAAAAATGGAGCTACCATACAACACAGCAATTCCACTCCTGGGGATCTACCCAAGAGACGTAAAAACACTTGTTCAAAAAAATACCGGTACCCCTATGTTTATTGCAGCACTATTTATAATAGGTAAAACCTGGAAACAACCCAAATGCCCAAAAATAGATGACTGGATCAAGAAGATGTGGTACATATACACAATGGAATACTGTGCAGCAATCAAAAAAGATAAACTCATGCCATTCGCAGCAACGTGGATGGAGCTAAAAGGAACTATGCTCAGTGAAATAAGTGAGAAGGAAAAGAAAAATATCAGATGATATTTTATAGGAGGAATATAGGGGAACCAAATAAGACAGACGTCAGGGGGAAATAATAATAATACAAAACATAACAAAACAAAAACAAACACAATTATAAATCAGAGACATCCTGTAGGGGAGGAGGAGGGAGAGGGATCAGAGGGAGGGAGGGAGGAGCACAGGGGACTGTGGTGATGGTGCACCAGTGCATTGGTGAAGGAAATTGTACGGAGACTACACCTGGGGTTTGGAAGCAAACATTGTTTAAAAATGAACAATGTAAACCACATCTGGAATGCTTTCTATAATTCACCAGTTTGCAGAAAGTAAACATTCTTTGATTTGTTCATAATATACTGAAATTGCCTATAACACTGGTGCAGTAAAACAGCTAGTTCTGTATTGTTGCAGTAGGAAAGATTTTATAATATAAAGTTAACAGGAAATAAAATGCTCACACATTATCTGGTGAAACTTATTTCACAAAGAGAGCATTAAATAAATGGGAAAAGGGAAAATAAACCATGCAGAAGAGACAGCTTCTCTGTCTCCGCCTTTTTCCTATGAGCTCACTCATTGCCATACAAAACTTTGTTTTCTTCAGATTTTGGGGGGGGCTATATTAAAGAAATTAAGACTACACTATTTAAATAAAAATTTCCTGTTTCTGAAAAAAAATGAACAATATATATATATATAGTGATTTTTTAAAAATCACTTCAATCTGCAAGCGGAGGCCTTTGGAATGTAACAATAGGAAACATTCAATGATATTGTTTCAGGCTTGCAGGTAGCATTTGAGAAATTACTACTTGCAGTGTTTTGATTGAGTATCAAAGTTGAGTATTCCTAATTATCTGAAAACATAATTAAATACTACTCCTGCATGTGTGTGTGAGGTTGTATATATGTGTGTGTGTGAGGTTGTATATATTTTTTCATAGACTTCAACCCAAACAATAGGAAAATGCAGAAGAAACTACGAAAATCTGTCTTCTAATGAAACGGGCAAGGAACATACTTGAAAAAATATAAACTATAAAATACCCACTCTTCTCATGCCCTGATTATTTTCAGAAGTAGATATTTTTGTTTTAAAAACACTTTCTGTTTATATCCAATAGGTAATTAACATGAACCTAAATGAAATAATAGCATTTTTAACAACAGTTTTATTCCTAGTGTAGAAAATATTAGTAGCTACAACCCACATAACAATTATACTTGGGGTCCTCACTATTGGTCAGACTACAGGGAACCTGAAACCATCTCCGGGAACTCAGGGGGACAGTGTGACCAGGTCTCCGTGCAGGAGAGGAGCAGGCAAGGCAAAGACCCAAGTTCCAGGATTTGGTTCTGGGGTCTCAGCCCCTAAGGCAGTGTCAGGGGGGTGATCTGCCTCCCAGCAGTTTTATTTCCTCTTCTCACATCTGTGGCGGCCTCCTGCCCCTGCCCTGTGACTCCTCCTCGTTCTCACTCCCACTGCCTGGAGGTTTTCTAGAGAAGCAGAGCAGCATCACCAGCGCCCCAGTTATAAAGTCTGCACCCACCTCAGATGCGCCCCTGACCCCTAAGACTAGGATCATGAAGCCCCCGCCCCTCCTGCTGCTGCTCTTGGCGATCCTGGCGCTGACAGAGACCTGGGCGGGTGAGTGTGGGGTTGGGAGGGAAACAGCTGCTGCTGGAGGGAGGATCAAGAGGACCCCCAGGACCCCAGGAAGGCAGCCTCCTCTGCCAACCCGTTCTGACCCCTGGGCCCCGCTGTTCTCCAGATCCCTTTCTGTCCTTCCCAACCTCCCGTTTTCTTGGTACCCGAGGTCTACCCGCTGCCCGGTATAAATCTTATGAGCCCCTCGCCCCTCATCCTCTCCAGCCCTATCTCCCTGGGACCCCGAACCTGCACAGGGAGGAGGCTCAGCCCGGGTCTCCCCTCCCGCCCCCAGGTTCCCACTCCCTGAGGTTTTTCTTCACCACGATGTCCTGGCCCGGCCCCGGGGAGCCCCGCATGATCTCGGTGGGCTCCGTGGACGACACGCAGTTCGTGCGGTTCGACAGCGACTCCCCGGGCCAGAGGATGGAGCCGCTGGCGCCCTGGGCAGAGCAGGAGGGGCCGGAGTACTGGGAGGGGGAGACGCAGATTTCCAGGAACAACACCGCGTGGTACCGAAGCAGCCTGAACAACCTGCGCGGCTACTACAACCAGAGCGAGGCCGGTGAGCGGGGCGGGCCCGGGGCGCTCACGACCCCCACCCTCACGTGCCGGGTACCCCTCACCTTCCGGATCTGAGCTACACCCCGAGGCTGTAGAATCCGCTCGGACCCTCGACCGAGGGTAGAACCCGCAGGACTTTCATTTTCATTTTAGGTTTTTCCCGCCGGGGGCGGGAGCGGGCGGGGTGACGCGGGGTGACGGGGCGGGGACAGGCTCTCACACCCTCCAGGAGATGTACGGCTGCGACGTGGGGCCCGACGGGCGACTCCTCCGCGGGCACGAGCAGTATGCTTATGATGGCGCCGATTACCTGGCCCTCAACAAGGACCTGCGCTCCTGGACCGCTATGGACACTGCAGCTCAGATCTCCCGGCGCAAATTGGAGGCGGCCGGAGAGGCGGAGCGCGTCAGGAACTACCTGGAGGGCAGGTGCGTGGAGTGGCTGAGCAGGTACCTGGAGCACGGGAAGGAGACGCTGCAGCGCTCAGGTAAGAGGGGCCAGGAGGCTTCCAAGCCTCCAGACCTCTCCCTGTCAGAGGAAAATGGAGCAAGAGTCACACCATGACACCAGCTTTCTGGTGGGGGAGAGGAGGGAGTCTGCCCGGGTTCATATTCTGTACCTGAGAGATACGCGCCCACGGGGCCCCACTTTATCTGGACAGTTAAGGGGTCCAGTTTCTCCAAATGTGAAGAGACCCTTGTCAGGTTTGGGTGTTTGTGGATCTGGGGGTTCCTTGGTCCGACTATGGTGTGGGAAGAATTCACAGCCACCTCTTTAGCCGAAGAACAGCAAAGTTTTTCTAGAGACAAGTAAAAGATTCTCAGGGAAAGGCACCTGGGTGGGTAGAGACCTTTGGAAAAACAACTGCCAGGGAATTGTGGGGAGCTTTTGTCATATATGGGGTACAATAACTGCTCCCTCCATCCCTTCCTGGGGTGCACTGCACAGGTGCTCTTGGGATATTGGTTTATGCCCCAGGAGCAGGCTGGGGCAGGTTGGGCATGAGTTGCCTGGGTGTCAGCCAGCACCCCCTGCTCTTCCCTTGGGGGTGGGAGAGCATTTGGGTTTTTTCCAGGTATTGCTTTTCTTGTAGAGGGAAAATGTCTTATTATCCAGAAACTGTCCAATCTCAAGAAATTCCCCTCTCTGGGTGCTTCTTGCTTTCCTTGTGCTTTGTAGGTTGGGGAGTAAAGAGCGAGAACTACTTTTCCACCCTCTGGGCATGTCTTGGATGTCCATGGGATTGTTCACCTCTGGCAAGAGTCTTCTGGGGTCCTGGGTATAGTTGGGTGTTTAATTTTCTTAGGCATTGCCCTCACTGCCCTAAATATCTAATAAGACCATCCCTGAAATCACTCTTCACCTGGCCCTTTTGACCTGGCAGCCATCTTGGGAACTTCTGTGACTATTTTGGCTTTTTTTTTTTTTTAAAGATTTATTTATTTATTTATACAAGCACTGGGTGCAGTCAGAAGCACAGGAGGGTGAGAGAATTCACCAGAGCCAGAGGGGAGAGCAGAGCAGGCAGACTGACGAAGTACACTGCTGAGGGGAGCAGCGGGCAGCAGGAGAGGTCTGTCTCCATGTGGGACCCTCGCCCGGCGGCCGGGGATCGAACCGGCACTGCAGAGGCGGTGGGCAGCTTCTCAGCCCAGTGCTCAACTGCTGCGCCACCAGGAGAGGCCCGGAACCATCAGTTTCTCTCTCAAGTTCTTGTTTTTGGTCTAAGGTCATTTTTGGATCTGACTCCCGATTTTCATTCACCCTCCACTCAAGTCAGAAGCAAAAGTCTGTGTTCTCCTCCTAAGAGACCTGCATCCTCCTACCCTGGGCTCTCACCTGATTATCCCAGAGTCTCCAGACCAGGCTGGTTTTTGGGTTTTGTGCTTCCTCTCTCCAACCCAGTGTCCTGTCCCTTCTGCAGTTGGTCACATGACACTGCTTTAGTGTCCATGGTGGAAACACAAAGTGTTAATTTTTTGATGCTTCTCCCTCAGATCCCCCAAAGACATACGTGACCCACCACCCCACCTCTGACCAGGTGGTCACCCTGAAGTGCTGGGCCCTGGGCTTCTACCCTGCGGACATCACCCTGACCTGGCAGCAAGATGGGGAGGACCTGACCCCAGAGACAGAGCTGGTGGATACCAGGCCTGGGGGTGACGGAACCTTCCAGAAGTGGGCAGCTGTGGTGGTGCCTTCTGGAGAGGAGCAGAGTTACACATGCCATGTGCAGCATGAGGGGCTGCTGGAACCCCAAGTCCTGAGTTGGGGTGAGGAGAGGGACGTGGGCCTAGAGCCTCTTCTTAGAGGCATTAGGAGTCCTTCTGGAGACCTTCAGAGGCTCAGGTTAGAGGACTAGGGGTCAGTGTCTGACCTTCTTTTCCCTTCCAGTGCCCCCTACTCAGTCCACTGCCTCTACCATGTTCATCATTGGTGGCCTGTTTCTCCTTGGAGCTAAACTCGCTGGATTTACAGTGGCTGTAGCTGTGATGTGGAAGAAGCAGCATTCAGGTAGGGAAGGGAGTAGGGTGTCTTTCCACTGTCATTTTAAAGTTCCAGGTACAAATTACTCTCCAGGTTAGTGAGAAGTAACATCCACACACTAGATTGTATTGCCCAATCTAGAGTTGATTGCTAACCCTCTTTTGTAAAGCACTTATGGAAATGAATTACAAATTCTTCCCTTTGATATTTCTGGCGATGGGGACCTGATTCCCAGCAAATGTCTCTGCTAAGGACAGACTCTATCTAGAAGGCAGTTGGTCCAGTCCCCTCTCAAATCCTTTGCCTATATTTTCTGCTCCTGCCCTGAGTGTTCAGTCACAATTCTGGAAACTTCCCTGTGGTCCAGACTTGGGGATTCCTTTGGACTTCATGGCCTGATCCTCCCTGGTTTACACATGATGTTTCTTCCCACAGGTGGACAAGGAGGAAGTTACACTCAGGCAGCAGGTAAGTGTGAATCAGGGGACAAGTAAGTGTGAGCCCCTGGGGACAGTGTAGATGGAGCCCATGGGGGAGCCCTGTGGTCTTATCTCGTGGCTCTAACGAGGTTCTGTTTTGCTCTCCCCCGGGCATGGTAATGCCCAGGGATCCTAAAGGTGAGACCCTGGAGGCCTGCGGTGGGAGGGGCTGGGGCAGAGAGGATGGGACCAGGTTATGGGGAAGCTGTGAGGGGACATTCTGAGGATGCGGTGGACTATGGAGAATGTCAACACTTACATGATTCTCTGAATTTATTCATGGTTATTTACTTTCACAGTATGAGACAGCTGCCTTGTTGGGACTGAGTGCTGCAGGATTTCTTCTCATCTCCACTACATGACTTCAGTTTCCCCTAGTTTTCACTGCTGGAAAGGGCATCTGAATTTTCTGTTTCTATTAGCATAATGTGAGGAGGTGGGGAGACTGGCCCAGTCCTGCCCACCAGGCCCCTCCCCACACTGACCTGTTCTCTCCCGGATGACTTTCCTGCTCCAGCAGAGGCGAGACTGACTCCATCCCTGCCAGTGCTTTGTGTTTTCCTGAGAAATAATATTTACTTCCCTACTGAAAAAAGTAATAATCCGGATATGAAATTGTTTTTCTTGCCTTGTCATGTGGGAGTGATGGGTTATTTAGGAAAATGCCTAAAAACTGAGAATAAAGAGGGATCATGAGGACCAACCAGAACTATGGGTTTGCTGTGCTGAGTCTGTGCAGGTGGGGGCAGGAGAGGCTGTGAGGAGCCAAGGGGGATGGGGCTTGTGTCCACTCGGTGCTCAGTGCGTCATGGGCTTTGACGTGGTCACTCCTCAGGGGTCATCTCTCTGCTCCTTTGTCCTTGTCCCTCAGTAGCACCTGTCCCAGCAGGGCCTGTGATCACAGGGACTCAGACCCCACCTGGCCCTGTCCTGTCTCTGGGACTCTGGGAAGTGAGGGCTTTGTGTGGCCGGGTCAGCTAGACTTCAGTAAGATTTGGCCTTCAGCCCCTCTTTTGGGTATTCGTGATTTTTTCCTTAGATTCCATAACAAAACATAGTAACCAGAAGCAAAGGATCATTGTTTTTCGAAGAGAGGTATATTTACACTTGTGAGCATGGTGTGCAAGGGGGTAAGTGTAGTAGGGAGAGATGGAGGATGGGGTTGGGGGGGTGAGCAGCATCTGGGAGAAAGGGGGAGGTGACACCAATGTTGAATCACAACGTCCATGTGAGTGGATATTGGACTGTAACTGCCACACGATATCATGTGGCCAGAGGCTACATTAATAAAGATACTATCTCTGAAACAGGGGGAGGTCTTTAGTGGTCATTCTTTCAATGGAAATTGGTTGTGATAGAGATGTAACTTACTTTGAAGCAAAAAAAAAAAAAAAGAATAATTTCGGGCCTTGCGGAACATGTGCTCTGTGGGAAGAGACAGACTATACACTAGAAGCACAGTAATAAGGAAAGTGAGTTAGAGGGGGTGGAAAAATGCAGTGAGGAAGTTGATCCTGAGTGTGGGGGTTGAGATGGAAGGTGGCGGTTTTCGTTTGGGTGGCAAACATGGCCTCCCTGGGAAGGTGACCCATGAGGAAAGATTTAAAGAACTTGAGGAATTATCTACAAGATGTCTGAGGAAGATCTTTCCAGCAGGGGACCCTCAGTATAGGAGTGTGTGTGTGTGTGTGTGTGTGTGTGTGTGTGTGTGTGTGTGTAGAGAAAGGAGGCCTGTGTGGCAGGAGCACAGAGTAATGGAGATGAGATCAAAGCCCGATCTGGAGGATATGGAAACTTTGACCTTTGCTGAGTGAGGTGGGAGCTAAAAGGCAGTTCTGAACAGGGAGGCACATGGTGTGAGTCTTCTCTAAAAGGATCACTGGGGCATCCCTGGTGCCTGAATGGATTAAGCACAGCACTACAAAACTATCCACAGCCTCTGCAGCATGAGTTTGATCCCCGGCCAGCCAGGGAGCTACCCACATGGCGCAGCAGACCTCTCTTGTTTCGCCCACTGCTCCCCTCAGCAGTGTACTTCAGACAATCTGCCTGTTCTGTTCCCTACTCTGTCTCTGGCGAATCCTCTCATCCCCCGCACCTCTGGCCTGTACCCCACTTCTTGTATGAATAAATAAATCTTAAAAAAAAAATAAAAAATAAAAGGATCACTGGGCTCTGTGCTGAGAATAGAAGTGGGCTCGTGGTGAGGAAGGCACCAAAGAGCAGTAGGAAACCAGTGAGTGCGAGCAGAGGGAAGAGTGGACATAATGGGGCTTTGGATACATTCTGAAGATGATCTTTACAGCATTTCCTAACAAATGTACGATATAAGAGAAAGAGGGTTCAGGGAGGACACCCCAAATGTTGGACTATGAAAGTGGAAAGATGCAGTTTCTGTCAGTGGACATGGGACTCTCAAAGAAGCATATTTGAGGGGGAGGCATAACAGACATCAAGTTTAAAGACGGTGAAGCTGGGGGGTCCGTTAGAAATACAAGTGAGATGGCTGGATTGGCAGTTGGATAGATGAGTCTGGAGTTAAGAAGAAATGTCTGGGCCGGATGATGCCGTTGGGAGATGGGATATGATGCCGTTAAATGATATTTAAAACCTTCAGAATGAATGAAGTTGCCACAAGAGTGATGACTGTCAAAAGGACTAGAAGGGGAAGCAACAGGGACTGACCATTGGGCTCCCAATGCTGAGCACTCCCATCAGCCCCCACACCAGGAGCCGACTGCGCTGTTCTGGCTCATCACTGACCGGGAGGCAGGTAGACCAGGGAGTCCAAGACTCTAGTGTGCACAGGAATCACCAGGGATTTTCTTAAATCCCAGAAAGTGTGAAGCCTGAGATTCTGTGTTCATAGCATGCTGCTGGTGTGCGAGACTTGATCACACGTTTGGTAGCAAAGGCAATTCAGGCGTCTGGCGTGGCTGTGCATCAGCTCAGCTACAGACCTTATTAAATAGCTGAGCTCTTGGTTTTGTAGCCGATACTCTCAGCTGATGGTCTGGAGGTGCCTGGGTACTTCAAGAAGTTCTACAAGTCACACTGGTGCTCAGCTAGATTTGGAGCCATGGAGGACAGAGATCAGACAGTGCCCGGATGGGAAGGGATCTACACCTGTGTTGAAAACTGTTTATTTTTCTCCCTCAGAAAAAAAAGGGAAGAAGGGCTTCTATAGTCAGTTATGAGATGTGATGTTGGGACTTAGCTGGGTACAGTCAGGTGGAAGGTTTAGGAAGCGGTTCACAGTTCAGCATAACGAAAATCTCAAATTCCTGCTGTCCAAAATTGTTCCCAGATTGACTTCTTGGAACAAGCAATGGAATCCAAAATTTGTCTACAATATTGGAGTCTGATATTACATTGGGCAAAGTCACAGGATACAGTTGAGGTTACACAGCCAGGAACAGAACCCATAATCCACCACAGTCCAACTGGGTTAGTCCCACAAGGAACAGCTGCCCCAGCTGCTGGACACAGATGTCACCACAGACACCCCTGTGATCATGGTGGGCCCTGCAGCTCAGGCTTGATCACTATTGATATTGACAACTGGACACTGTCATTACCAATCACACTACCCTTGCCCAGGGCCTCCTGTACAGTCCCAGCCTCTCTGTGCCGCCACGTCCAGCAGGTGGTCACTGGCTTGTGGAGCCTTGAGCAGCGTCCACCTGCAAGACTGAGAAAATATGTTTCCTTCTCTTATGGAGGAAACATAACACTCTAACACTCTCTGCCTCCTCCCAAGACTCTTTATGCATAGAATTTTCTAATGTAGAAGAGAGCTCAGGTGCAGGGGATGAGGTTCGGTATAAGAACAACAATTTCAATGTTTGGAGCAAAGATGTGAGACTGGAACTTTCCCTGGTAACGAGTAGGCATGCAAGCTTGTCTGGGAGAACAAGTAATAAATGAATGACATTCTTCCCACTCATTCCCACAAATCATCACTGTGGAATGGTGAGAGGATCACTCAGATGTCATCTCCCTGCCTGTCTCTTACTAGGATCAGAACCCCCAGGTTCATAAAATGTCAACAGGGCTGATCTGTGTGCACACTGGTGTTCTAGGTCAGTATTTGTATTTCCTTGTACGTGGAAAAACACTCCCCGGTTTTTATGTGATTCCCTAAAGGACTAAAGAAACAAGGAAAATCCCACCGCCCTACTCTCCTCATTTAGTTATGGTGTCACTCAAAGTTGGGACCATGAACAGCTGGCAGCAGACCCAAGGATGTGATGTAAACACCTGTATTTTGCTCCTCTTTTGCTTGGGATGAGATGACATAGGGTTTTACTTGCTAACTTTGACCCAGTTTCTCTTTGTGTGATGGCAAGAGTTGTTCCAATCAATTCTCTGATACCCACTTCATGCCTGGAATTCAACTCAGTTCTGAAACCAACTTCCTGGAATTTTCATCAGGTCCCGTAAGTCCAGGGCTCCATCCCACAAGATTGCGCTCACTTCAGAGGTATGTCCTGTGGATCAGGTCCTCATGTCACCTCATGGGAGAAAATAAGCAGAAACCCAGTCTTGAATACAAAAAAACCTACAGAGGCCAAAGTCAGCCTAAACAGGGCAGTCCAGCTGTGACAATGACCCATAGGCAGCCTTGAAGACTCAGCATGCCGTACATTGCTGCTGCTAGAAGGATAAACAATGGGATGTTTGGGGCCTCCTTGGTGGCACAAGGGGTTAAACACAGTACTGTGAAGCTATCCACAGCCTCTGAAGCATGAGTTCGAACCTGGCAGGCCAGGGAGCTACCCACATTGTGCAGCAGAACTCTCCTGACTCGCCTGATGCTCCGCTCAGCAGTGTATTTCAGTCAGTCTGCCTGTTCTGCTCCCTGCTCTGTCTCTGGTGAATCCTCTCACCCCCACCACACACCTCTGGCCTGTACCCCAGTTCTTGTATGCATAAATAAATTTTTAAAAAATGGGATCTTTGACCAGAAGTGCATGTCCACAAAGACATTTTATTTTTTGGATTTATTTATTTTAATTTTGAGGTTACATTTTTGCTCTCCCAGATATGCACATGTTCCTCTCACCCACCGCCAAACCAGCTGTGCCCACACTCCGCCTGCCTCCCTTCCCCACTCCCTCTTCCTTCCTGTTCTCTCTGGGGACCATTGTATTATTTCACTCAGTTCAAGATGTATTCTTACTGTGTTTTGACTGTGTTTGACTTTTGGTTATTTTATATTATTTATACAGATGAATGAAACCATCCGATATCTGCACAAAGAACCTATTTTAAACCTATTTATGACCCAATTCTTGCATTTCTCACAGGTAATTGCATCTGCTCACCGAGATAATCTAAATGTATACAACACACCCACCTAGCTCTTACCTAAGGATGTTAGAAAATTATCAGACACTGGCTACGAAAACAAATACTTTGCTGTAGAACAAGGAAGGTGATGTTTTTATTGTACACGGCCTGGCTCGCAGTGGCTTATAAGTTACACTGGGAACTCAGGAGAGTGGGAGCTGCTGGCCCTGCTCCCGAGGCAGCCTGGCTTTGACACTGAAAATAAGCTCCTTTATGAACCCTTTTTCATAGTGACAATCCTCTCAGTCAACACTTGCACACCATTCAGTTTGTCTACAAATTGAGGGGGCACCCAAGCTTGATAGTTTGCTATTGTAATTCACAGAACGCAGGAAAATGCTTTGCTTGAGTGAACAGGTGGAGGGGGACAGTGGAGGTCTGGAAGGATCCTGGATGCAAGAGCCTCTGTCACCATGGTTAGTGTGCATGTCCCTCCAATTCTGAAGCTCTCTGAGCCCCATGATCTAAAAGTCATTTTTTTGTTTTTTGGGTTTTTTTGTTTTGCAAAGACTGAACATACTTTTTTTTTTATTGAGATGTGATTGACATGTGGCATAGTATTCGATTCACGTGTACAAAATTATGAATTGACATCTATGTATTACAACATGATCACTGCCACAGGTCTGATTAACACCCATCAGCACAAACAGGTACAATTTTTTTCTGGTGATGACAATATTTAAGATTCATTTTCTTAGTATCTTTCAAATACACATTATAGTAACTATAGTCACTCTGCTGTGCATAACATCTCTGAACACTTCTGTGTTTACCTGGGAGTACCTTCTCCCCACCTTTGTCCATTCTACCGCCACTAACCCCTTCCACCTCCCCAACCCCATACCTCTGCCAACTACATGGTTTAAAAGTTTTATTGGAAGTTTTAATATGTGAGCATGCTTAATTGAATCATTGGACATTGGTGACTGAGCTCAACCCCAGCACCTCTCCCAGAGGTTGGGGAATGAATCTGAATGTTCCAGCCCTCTAACCCTGTGTCCTGCAACTTAACTGAATTCATTGA